GATCTTCTGTCACGTTCGTTGAGTACAGAATTGGACCAAGGTGCAGCGTGGTATGCGTACATGTTCGTTTATTATATAAACACAGACAAAACAACAAAAGCAACGTAACATGACGTTCTAAAGGCTAAACATCAAACACACAGAAACAAGATCCCACAACATAGGTAGGCAAAATGGCTGCCTAAGTATGATCCCCAATCAGAGACAACGATCGACAGCTGCCTCTGATTGGGAACCACACCCGGCCAACATAGATACACACATACTAGATAATACATAGATATTCACACCCTGACCAAACCAACTAGAGATCTCTATGTCAGGGCGTGGCAGGGAGGCAGGAAAGTGTCAGGAAGGCAGGAAAGTGTTCTTGGGGTAAATCCCATTTAACTTCCGCTGGGGACCTTTGAACTCTGAATGAACTGAATGGAAATAATCAGATCCCAATAATCAGATCCCAAACTCGGAAATGACCCCAATCTTCTAAATCAGTAGAGGAAATACACTTTTATCTATTGAAAAGTTATGTAAAGAGTCACTAGCTCTTGAATAAGGTAAAGTCCTGAAAACCAGACCAATACCCTGAGACAGACCAAGACAGTGACACACACTGTGTGTGTTCAAGTTATGTTATTAAAAAGCCCCTGACTTACAACCAAACAGCAGTCTGGAATATGAACACTGTAGACAATAGCTTACCTGAAGGTGTTGATGGTAAGCCAAAGGCCTGGGCGTTCTCCACCTGTCTCTTCAAGTGACTTCAGCCATTCTTCACTAAAGTCAGGTTCTGCAGACAGACGCAGCAACTCATAGTGACTCGGAAACAACTTCCTGTGTGACTCTTACCTATTATGGACACCATACAAATAGGTTGTTTTAAATTTCTATCTCCACAGAGTGGAGTGCTTATGTGAGTGTGTATGTGTGCGTGTGTGTGTGAGTGTGTATGTGTGCCTGCGTGTGTGTGAGTGTGTATGTGTGCGTGTGTGTGTTGTGGCAGCTGCAAGTGAGAGGAGAGTTTGAGCATGGCTGGGTAGCCATGGGGAAGTTACCTCCACTGAGTACTCCTTCCCCATGACTGAACCTGTCGTGACCTGTGGAAAAGATGGGGGAGAAAACCGATAGCGAACTTCTGTTTAGTGTGCAGAGGCACTCCCCTGCCAGATGTCTGTCACTCTCTCCTATCCCTCGTTCTCTCTCTCTCTCTCTCTCTCTCTCTCTCTCTCTCTCTCTCTCTCTCTCTCTCTCTCTCTCTCTCTCTCTCTCTCTCTCTCTCTCTCTCTCTCTCTCTCTCTCTCTCTCTCTTTCCCCTTCATTTTGACAACCATAGAGATTTGCCATCAACAGTCCCCTCTCTCTCTCTCTCTTATTATTATATTTTACTCAAATATTATAAATGTTTGGGCTTCTTGCAGTTAATTTGCAGTGTACAAATTATTTGTAATTAGGTTCCGGCCCCCCGACCATCGGCAAAATGATAAATCGGCTCGAGGTTGAATGTAATTGGGGACCCCTGCACTAGGGGGAGTGTTAGTGGTGGGGAGAGTGGAAAATGCTTAAAAATGTGTATTTTCCTCTTTTACCTCATCTGCAATAATTGGAAAAGACTCCCTTTCTCTCTCTGTCTCTCTCTCTCTCTCTCTGTCTCTCTCATAAACAGTGATCTTTTTAATTCAAGGCACTAGCCCTGTGCATTGGACAATTAGCATTTCAAATTACGTTGATTACAACAATTAATGCACTTGTTCTCGGCTTCACCTCCACAGTGTACACACTCAATATACCCTGACTAGTGACTCTACTCCTGTGAGAGGTGATTTGAAGGAGTCAGGCGCAGGAAGGTAAATCACAGAATACAGAGTTTATTCCGTAGTACAGAGTTACGATGGATAGCGTCAAACAGTCCAGGGCGCAAAACAGGCGCACTGGAACAAAACAGTCACACGGGGAAAAAATACCCCGGCAATACAAAGTACACGTATCTCAACCGAGCTACTCTCTCCTCACATTAAACAATCACCCTCAAGGACAAGGGGGGCAGAGGGAACACTTATACATGTACTAACGAGGGGATATGAACCAGGTGTGTGTAATAGACAAGACAAAACAAATGGAATGATGAGATGAGGAGCGGCAGTGGCTAGAAGGCCGGTGACGACGAACGCCGAAGCCTGCCCTGAACAAGGAGTGGAGGCAGCTTCGGAGGAAGTCGTGACAACTCCAGAGAAGAGCATCTGCTAAATGAATAACATGTTAAATAATTGGACACCTCTGTTTAGTGGCCCAAAATGGAGGCATGTGTGATCTGTGACAGAGGAGGCTTCATGAAGACTGTATAGGCTTGATGATGTCATCAGCTCCTGACTTTACCACTTTACTTTGGAAAAAGTGCAAACTCGGTTTTAAGTTCAATACAGTTTTCCAGTCTCAATTAAATTATTTTTTAATTAGTGTTGCAAGGTTTTCTAGAAATCCCAGTAGGAAGAATCACGTAATCAGAAGGGGAAAATCTGGATCCCTCCAACCAGGAATTCTGGAAAACTTGGGAATTTTACCACAAAGTTACCCGAACTTTTCAACCATAACTGTAATGGGCCCTTGATAACATTGAGCTCCAATTTAGTGAACGCTGTCATGACGGTTCCAAGCCATTGAATGTATCAAGAGTCGACAGTATACGTGTGTCAGAAGTAGAAGTGGGTCTAGAAGTCTACCTTAACCACAGATCTAGGATTAAATACCCTTCCCTCAATCCTAACTTTACCCAAATGAGAATGAAAACGTATCTGAGTCTGTATCAGTGGATAGGGGTAACTTCTACCTACTGTGAGCCTTCAGCTTGGAGCTCGTGCATGATGGTGGATGAGCTCGATCAGTCAATTAATAATCGATACCTAATGAAATCCCCAGGGAAACTTGAGATTAAAATAGCCTCCTTTCAGACAGTGAGAGATGAGAATATGATTGGACTGGAAAGGTGATAAACATAGTCTGCATCCCAAATTGCACCCTATTTCTTATGTAGTCCACTTCTTTTTACCAGAGCCCTATTTAGTGCACTAAATACGGAATAGCGTGCCATTTGGGACATCACCATACTGTATTCCAGAAGCCACTTGCTTGATCATCTTATATTCTCAGAAGGGACTAAATCAGGGTGGAAGGGAGGGGGAACTAATGAGGGTGGAAGGAGGGATAGTTAATGAGGGTGGAAGGAGGGATAGTTAATGAGGGTGGAAGGAGGGATAGTTAATGAGGGTGGAAGGAGGGATAGTTAATGAGGGTGGAAGGAGGGATAGTTAATGAGGGTGGAAGGACCATGGCTCTTTCTCAGCTGTATAAAACAATCTTTCCTCAACTCGCCTCCTCTCTTTCATTGATCTGAAAGGTCTGATCATGTGAAAACATGAGGAGAAGAGTGATTTTTTTAAGTAATTGAGGTAGAGCCCTTATCCCATTGACTGACTGGTATTTTTCACACTCCCACCACCACTAACACTCTCCCTAGTGGTAGCTTACCACCACGTCAGATCGCAGGCCCAAAGAGCGACACTTCATGTTGAAGAACTTCTCCATGCCTAATTCAGCACCTCCTTCTGCCTCAGTGACTGGGGGAAGTGTGTGTGTGTGTGTGTGTGATGTTTACTGATGTGTGTGTGAATGTGTGAAAAGCATGGAGTTTGGTGTGTGCTTTGATGTTTTAAATTGGTATGGGGGTGTAGGGGGAAGAGAGTTGAGACACAAACAACAGAATAATTATATATTTATAAGCATAAGTAACATTTATAAGCATTCATTCAGTTGTATTTACTGAACATAAACAAAACCCTGGACCAAAATCATTTTTCTTGACTTTCTAACCAAAAGCCACAAAACAATTCCTCTTTCACTAACCCGCTTTGGGCACACAAGCTTCAAGGTGATCTGATCAGCCAGGATGGACGTGTTGCCCTGGGCTATATCTGAAAATGGACAGGTGTGAACGGGGGGGGGGGGGGGGGGGGGGGAGCGAGACAGAGAGAGAGAGTGAGAGAGAGAGTCAACAGGAAGAAACATACGACACTGAACTTGTCGCGAACTTGTCGTGAAGTAAGCAATCTCTTGTGAGTCATCATAGACTAATGGGTGCAGCAACATTTGGGCTCTGACGCTATCAAACAGGACACGGAATGGTTTCAAAATGAAGTGTATGTATTCTAGGGCGGCAGGTAGCCTAGCGGTTAGAGCGTTGGGCAGTAAAGCTTGCCGGTTTCGAGTGAAAAATCTGTTAATGTGCCCTTGAGCAAGGCACTTAATTCTAAATTGCTCCAGGGGCCCTGTACTACTATGGCTGACCCTGTAAAACAACACATTTCACTGCACCTATCTGGTGTATGTGACAATAAAACATCTACAGTTTATTAGGTACACCACCCCGTTCACGAAAATGGTTTGCTCCTACAGACAGTGAGTCACGTGGCCGTGGCTTGCTATATAAAGCAGGCAGACAGGCATCGAGGCATTCAGTTACTGTTCGATTGAATGTTAGAATGGGCAAAGCGAGTGACCTAAGCGACTTTGAGCGTGATATGATCATCCTGGCCATACCTAATAAACTGGCCTCTGAGTGATTCTTTTTTTTTTTGGGGGGGGGGGGGCTATTACCAAGCCCTTTTCATATGTAACAGATATCACCAAGAAATCAAAACAATAACCTGATCCTTAAGCTTGGAGCAGCAACAATATTTATAATTAGAAGCAATTGATTGCTGGGCCTCACGGCTGAAATATATTCTCTCCCTCTATCCTTTCCTCTTTCTTTCTCTCTCTCTCTCTCTATCTAGCTCTCGTCTCTCTCTCTCTCTCTCTCTCTCTCTCTCTCTCTCTCTCTCCTCTCTCTCTCATCTCTCTCTCTCTCTCTCTCTCTCTCTATCCTCCCATGTCCTTTGTCTGTGGCCTAGTTGCTTGTTAAGACAGAGTTTCCTGGTGGGTACATACTGTAGGTCTATGAAAAGATACTATAGAAACACGTCTAATGGTTTGGAGCAGGTGCTAGAGATGAAAACACGTGTCCAGCAAAAAGAAAGACAACACACACACACACACACAACACACACACACACACACAAGACCAATCTGCTCCCAACAGGTCTGATTTATTTAGACAGCATATAGACCCTTAGGTCACACACACACACACACACACACACACACACACACACACACACACACACACACACACACACACACAACACACACACACACACACACACACACACACACACACACACACACACACACACACACACACACACACACACATACACACACATACACACACACACACACACACACACACACACACACACTAATGAAGACATAAGGGTCTAAAAGGGTTTTAATAACACATTCATTTCATAGATCACGTCTGGTTGTCTGGGTACATTATATGATTCTCTCACCTCCATGGTCTGCATTAGACTGGACTTCACAGATTCTCTCACCTCCATGGTATGCATTAGACTGGACTTCACAGATTCTCTCACCATCTTGGCCAACACTCAACTGATACTTTGTGGGGCGAACACAGTGAGAGACTCAACTGATACCTTGTGGGGCGAACACAGCAAGACTCAGCTGATACCTTGTGGGGCAAACACAGTGAGACTCAACTGATACCTTGTGAGGTGAACACAGAGAGACTCAACTGATACCTTGTGGGGAAAACACAGAGAGACTCAACTGATACCTTGTGGGGCGAACACAGAGAGACTCAACTGATACCTTGTGGGGCGAACACAGAGAGACTCAACTGATACCTTGTCGGGCGAACACAGTGAGAGACTCAACTGATACCTTGTGGGGCGAACACAGTGAGACTCAACTGATACCTTGTGGGGCAAACACAGTGAGACTCAACTGATACCTTGTGGGGCGAACACAGAGAGACTCAACTGATACCTTGTGGGGCGAACACAGAGAGACTCAACTGATACCTTGTGGGGCAAACACAGTGAGACTCAACTGATACCTTGTGGGGCGAACACAGAGAGACTCAACTGATACCTTGTGGGGCAAACACAGTGAGACTCAACTGATACCTTGTGGGGTGAACACAGAGAGACTCTAATAACATGTTATTGAAATCACTCAGGTGCTATAACAGTAGCACTGTGAATGGAAATTATACAGAACAAGCGTCGTAAGTGGACACGTTATTTGCACAACTGCATGACATATCGTAATTGGCTAAATGTGCTTTCTCTCTCTTTCCTTCGAACAAACGAGCTCGCACAGACATATACATGCATTTACATTTGCACAGACACACGCACACACACACACACACACAAACACGCAAGCACACACACACACACACACACACACACACACACACACACACACACACACACACACACACACACACACACACACACACACACACAGAGAGACAGGCAGACACACCCACACACTGACCAGTTCCCCTTGCGACTGTAAGCCACCATCATCCTGGCCAGGCAACGCGTCATGTCCTCCATACTGGTTCTGAGAGCCATAACAGCCGTCACCTCACTGGCCACAGACCCACTCAGCTGTTCCTGCTGGTTGCACTGTTAGTACATCATCTAAAGACACACCTACAGGCTTCCTACCTGCAGAGAGGTCAGGTTACCTCCCATTCCATTTACACTGCATTCGGAATGTATTCAGACCCTTTCACTTTTTCCACATTTTGTTACGTTACAGCCTTTTTCTAAAATGGATAAACATTTTGTTTTTTCCTCATCAATCTACACACAATACCCCATAATGATGAAGCGAAAAACAGGTTTTAGACATTTTTGCAAATGTATTACAAATAATAAAAACATAAATATCACATTTACATAAGTATTCAGACCCTTTACTCAGTACTTTGTTGAAGCACCTTTGTTAGCGATTACAGCCTTGAGTATTTGGGGAGTTTCTCCCATTCTTCTCTGCAGATCCTCTCAAGCTCTGTCAGGTTGGATGGGGAGCATCGCTGTACAGCTATTTTCAAGTCTCTCCAGAGATGTTCGATCGGGTTCAAGTCCGGGCTCTGGCTGGGCCACTCAAGGACATTCAGAGACTTATCCCGAAGCCACTCCTGCGTTGTCTTGGCTGTGTGCTTTGGGTCATTGTCCCCCATTTATCCTCAGAGTTCGTACTGCTTGGTGACCTAAATTGGGATATGCTTAACACCCCGGCCATCCTACAATCCAAACTAGATGCCCTCAATCTCACACAAATTATCAACGAACCTACCAGGTACAACCCTAAATCCGTAAACATGGGTACCCTCATAGATATCATCCTGACTAACTTACCCTCTAAATACACCTCCGCTGTCTTCAACCAGGATCTCAGCGATCACTGCCTTATTGCCTGCGTCCGTAACGGGTCCGCGGTCAAACGACCACCCCTCATCACTGTCAAACGCTCCCTAAAACACTTTAGAGAGCAGGCCTTCCTAATTGACCTGGCCCAGGTATCCTGGATGGATATAGATCTCATTCCGTCAGTAGAGGATGCCTGGTTGTTCTTTAAAAGTAATTTCCTCTCAATCTTAAATAAACATGCCCCATTCAAAAAATACAGAACTAAGAACAGATATAGCCCCTGGTTCTCCTCAGACTTTACTGCCCTTGACAAGCACAAAAACATCCTGTGGCGTACTGCATTAGCATCAAATAGCCCCCGCGATATGCAACTTTTCAGGGAAGTTAGGAACCAATATCCACAAGCAGTCAGGAAAGCAAAGGCTAACTTTTTCAAACAGAAATTTGCATCCTGTAGCACTAACTCCAAAAAGTTTTGGGACACTGTAAAGTCCATGGAGAATAAGAGCACTTCCTCCCAGCTGCCCACTGCACTGAGGCTAGGAAACACTATCACCACCGATAAATCTACAATAATCGAGAATTTCAACAAGCATTTTGCTACGGCTGGCCATGCTTTCCACCTGGCTACCACTACCCCGGCCACCAACTCTGCACCCTCTGCTGCAACTTGGTCCTCTGTAGCTCAGCTGGTAGAGCACGGCGCTTGTAACGCCAAGGTAGTGGGTTCGATCCCCGGGACCACCCATACACAAAAAAAAATGTATGCACGCCTGACTGTAAGTCGCTTTGGATAAAAGCGTCTGCTAAATGGCATATTATTATTATTATTATTAACTTGCCCATGCCCCCCCCCGCTTCTCCTTCACACAAATTCAGACAGCTGATGTTCTGAAAGAGCTGCAAAATCTGGACCCCTACAAATCAGCTGGGCTAGACAATCTGGACCCTTTCTTTCTAAAACTAGCCGCAGAAATTGTCGCAACCCCTATTACTAGCCTGTTCAACCTCTCTTTCGTAGCGTCTGAGATCCCCAGAGATTGGAAAGCTGCCGCGGTCATCCCCCTCTTCAAAGGGGGTGACACTCTAGATCCAAACTGTTACAGACCTATATCCATCCTGCCCTGCCTTTCGAAAGTATTTGAAAGCCAAGTTAACAAACAGATCACCAACCATTTCGAATCCCACCGTACCTTCTCCGCTATGCAATCCGGTTTCCGAGCTGGTCATGGGTGCACTTCAGCCACGCTCAAGGTCCTAAACGATATTATAACCGCGATCGATAATAGACAGTACTGTGCAGTCGTCTTCATCGACCTGGCCAAGGCTTTCGACTCTGTCAACCACCGCATTCTTATTGGAAGACTAAATAGCCTTGGTTTCTCAAATGACTGCCTCGCCTGGTTCACCAACTACTTCTCAGATAGAGTTCAATGTGTGAAATCGGAGGGCCTGTTGTCTGGACCTATGGCAGTCTCTATGGGGGTGCCACAGGGTTCAAATCTTGGGCGGACTCTTTTCTCCGTGTATATCAATGATGTCGCTCTTGCTGCTGGTGACTCTCAGATCCACCTCTACGCAGACGACACCATTTTGTATACATCTGGCCCTTCATTGGACACTGTGTTAACAAACCTCCAAACGAGCTTCAATGCCATACAACACTCCTTCAGTAGCCTCCAACTGCTCTTAAACACTAGTAAAACTAAATGCATGCTCTTCAATCGAACGCTGCTGGCACCCGCCCACCCGACTAGAATCACCACTCTCGATGGGTCTGACCTAGAGTATGTGGACAACTACAAATACCTAGGTGTCTGGTTAGACTGTAAACTCTCCTTCCAGACTCACATTAAGAATCTCCAATCCAAAGTTAAATCTAGAATCGGCTTCCTATTTCGCAACAAAGCCTCCTTCACTCATGCTGCCAAACATGCCCTCGTAAAACTGACTATCCTACCGATCCTTGACTTCGGCAATGTCATTTACAAAATAGCCTCCAACACTCTACTCAGCAAATTGGATGTAGTCTATCACAGTGCCATCCGTTTTGTCTCCAAAGCCCCATACACTACCCACCACTGTGACCTGTACGCTCTTGTTGGCTGGTCCTCACTACATGTTCGTCGTCAAACCCACTGGCTCCAGGCCATCTATAAATCACTGCAAGGCAAATCCCCGCCTTATCTTAGCTCATTGGTCACCATAGCAGCACCCACCCGTAGTCTGCGCTCCAGCAGGTATATCTCACTGGTCATTCCCAAAGCCAACACCTCCTTTGGCCGCCATTCCTTCCAGTTCTCTGCTGCCAATGACTGGAACGAATTGCAAAAATCTCTGAAGCTGGAGACTCTTATCTCCCTCACTAACTTTAAGCATCAGTTGTCAGAGTACCTTACCGATCACTGCACATGTACACAGCCCATCTGAAATTAGCCCACCCAACTACCTCATCCCTATATTGTTATTTATTTTGCTCTTTTGCACCCCAGTATCTCTATTTGCACATAATCTCTTGCACATCTAGCATTCCAGTGTTAATACTAATTGTAATTATTTTGCACTATAGCCTATTTATTGCCTTACCTCCTTAACTTGCTACATTTGCACACACTGTATATATATTTTCTGTTGTATTTTATGACCTTATGTTTTTTTTACCCCATATGTAACTCTGTGTTGTTGTTTTTATCGCACTGCTTTGCTTTATCTTGGCCAGGTCGCAGTTGTAAATGAGAACTTGTTCTCAACTGGCTTACCTGGTTAAATAAAGGTGAAATAAATAAAATAAAATAAAATAAATTGTCCTGTTGGAAAGTGAATCTTCACCCCAGTCTGAGGTCCTGAATGCTCTGTAGCAGGTTTTCATCAAGGATCTCTCTGTACTTTGCTCTGTTCACCTTTCCCTCGATCCTGACTAGTCTCCCAGACCCTGCCACTGAAAAACATCCCCACATCATGATGCTGCCTCCACCATGCTTCACCGTAGGGATGGTGCCAGGTTTCCTCCAGACGTGACAGTTACAAGCCAAAGAGTTCAATCTTGGTTTCATCAGACCAGAGAATCTTGTTTCTCATGGTCTGAGAGTCCTTTAGGTGCCTTTTGGCAAACTCCAAGCGGGCAGTCATGTGCCTTTTACTGAGGAGTGGCTTCCATCAAGGCCTGATTGGTGGAGTGCTGCACATATGGTTGTCCTTCTGGAAGGTTCTCCCATCTCCACAGAGGATCTCTGGAGCTCTGTCAGAGTGACCATCGTGTTTTTGGTCACCTCCCTGACCAAGGCCCTTCTCCCCCGATTGCTCAGTTTGGCCGGGCGGCCAGCTCAAGGAAGAGTCTTGGTGGTTCCAAACTTCTTCCATTTAAGAATGATGGAGGTCACTGTGTTCTTGGGGACCTTCAATGCTGCAGAAATTTTTTGGTGCCATTCCCCAGATCTGTGCCTCGACACAATCCTGTCTCGGCGCTCTACGGACAATTCCTTCGACCTCATGGCTTGGTTTTTGCTCTGACTGTCACTGTCAACTGTGGGACCTTATATAGACAGGTGTGTCCCTTTACAAATCATGTCCAATCAAATGAATGTACCCCAGGTGGACTCCAATCAAGTTGTAGAAACAAACATCTGAAGGATGATCAATGGAAACAGGATGCACCTGAGCTCAATTTTGAGTCTCATATCAAAGGGTCTGAATACTTATGTAAATAAGATATTTCTGTTTTTTTCTTTTGTATAAATTTGCAAAACATTATAAAAACATGTTTTCACTTTGTCATTATGGGGTAATGTGTGTAGATTGATGATTTTTTATTTATTTAATCCATTTTAGAATAAGGCTGTAACGTAAGAAAATGTGGAAAAATTCAAGGGGTCTGAATACTTTCCAAATGCACTGTAACTCTAGTCAAGCATGACCATTCACAGTTGTTTCAGGGGATATTTAGTGTCTCTGTGTGATACATTGATACATTCACTGTGGCACGATTTGGTTACTTTTCTCAATTCCTCACATCCTCTCGCCTCCTTCTCAAAGTGCATTGGAAGAGAAGATCCAAACCTCCACCCCTCAGACCTCCTCAGCCAATGCCTTTAGAGAAGAATGTGAGGAATTACGGAAATATAATTGATATTCATGTGCCCCTAGGGCCTGTGCCAACCCCAGTGTGGTGGTGGTCTTGCCCTCACCCAGTGGAGTGGGCGTAATCCTGCCAAGAGGATGTCAGAGGTCAAGGGCAGTTACAGATTCAATGTAGTGCCATTTGGCATACAACATAATAATATAATATATAATATAATATGCCATTTAGTATACGCTTTTATCCAAAGCGACTTACAGTCATGCGTGCATACATTTTTGTGTATGGGTGGTCTCGGGGATCGAACCCACTACCTTGGCGTTACAAGCGCCGTGCTCTACCAGCAGAGCTACAGAGGACCACGCCATTCGTGCCATTCGATTCACATGCCAGACAGTTCTTGGGCATAGAGGCCAGTACACATCCCACTGAGGCTCATTGTGTGTGTGTGTGTGTGTGCGTGTGCGTGTGCGTGTGTGGTCTAGTTATTTTATCCTCGTGAACCCTGCAATCCCCAAAAGTCCCCACAAGGTTAGGTTTAGGGTTAGGAGTTAGTAGGGGTGTGCCGAGTACTCGGACAAAACTAGTATCGTAATGGATATGGAGAATTTTCTGAATACGATTATGACACAAGTATTTTTTGTAATTATCCGTGATCTGAAAAAAGTAATCTTCAGCTGCCAGCACACATCTCTCTTTCACTCAAACAGTGTGAAGCGCTGTGTGCTCTAAACAACTATTGGCTAGTTCTTCTGTATGTAAAGAAATGGGGCGGGGTATCGGTTGAGCCTGCTGCAACGATTGGATTAGAGCAAGCCACTCTCCCACTGCTCTCATTTCCCCAGACAGACAGACACACGCATGGCTCTGTTTCACTCACAGTCAGTCACTCATCTCAGGGCACAAGTCTCCCCTTTTCCAAATTGTTTATGAATCAGAATCAGTAGCTAGTCATTGTTGTTCAATCTAGTTAATTCCTGTCGACTTTGCTGAGGCCATATGGTTGTTTTAGTCTGTCTACTTGGCTGAGGCCATATGGTTGTTTTTGACTGTCTACTTGTTGTTTAGTAGGCCTACTTTGTCTGTCCGTATATTCATTCCATTGCTGACGATGTCATTATGTCATGATCCAAGACCATGCTTGCTTGCTATAATTATGTTTAGTAAAATGACAATGTAGATAGTTAATTTTGATTGTACAAATGTTGGCATAAGTGTGTGTTTGTGTGTGTGTGTTCGTGTGTCAGTATATATGTGTGTATGTGCCATTTGTGCGATGTGTGTGTACGTGTGTGTTTGAGTGTGTTCGTGTGTGTGATGACCTTACACCGTGACCACCACGTATTTCCCATCAGGCTGTTCCTTGAGGCAGTTCATGACCTCCAGACGAACTTTGGCTAGGGTCGTCCCATAGGGCTCCACCTCCTCTGAGAAGAGGGCAACCTCCCTGGCCAGACAGCCAATTGTCTTTGGTGTGCAAGAGTGTGTGATCACAGCGTCACTGAAAAAGGTCACAGTAGCTCGACCATTTGGAGCGCTTCTCTCATACTTGACATTATACTGATGTAGGCCTACAGTGATACCAACTCTCCCCTGTTCTCTTTACTAATGTGGTTGTGTCCTTATCGCGACTACTGCTGTTCCTGGTACGTGTGTTAGGACTTGGTCCTTGGTTACTGTCCAATTCATACTGTAGGAGCTATTTAAAGATAGAGCTGCAATGGTTGTATTGACTGACTGACTGACTGACTGACTGACTGACTGACTGACTGACTGACTGACTGACTGACTGACTGACTGGCTGACTGACTGACTAACTGACTGGTTGACTGGCTGGCTGGCTGGCTGGCTGGCTGGCTGGCTGGCTGACTGACTGACTGGCTGACTGGCTGGCTGGCTGGCTGGCTGACTAACTAACTAACTGACTGACTGGCTGGCTGACTAACTGACTGACTGACTGACTGACTGACTGACTGGCTGACTAACTGACTGACTGACTGGCTGACTGACTAACTGACTGGCTGGCTGGCTGGCTGGCTGGCTGGCTGGCTGGCTGACTAACTGACTGGCTGGCTGGCAGACTGGCTGACTGACTGACTGGCTGACTGGCTGGCTGGCTGACTAACTGGCTGACTGGCTGGCTGGCTGGCTGACTAACTGACTGGCTGGCTGGCTGGCTGGCTGACTAACTGACTGACTGGCTGACTGGCTAACTGACTATCTGGCTGACTGGCTGACTAACTGACTGACTGGCTGGCTGGCTGACTAACTGACTGGCTGGCTGGCTGACTAACTGACTGACTGGCTGACTGGCTAACTGACTATCTGGCTGACTGGCTGACTAACTGACTGACTAGCTGGATGACTGGCTGGCTGACTAACTGACTGACTGACTATCTGGCTGGCTGGCTGACTGACTAACTGGCTGACTAACTAACTGGCTGGCTGGATGACTGGCTGGCTGACTAACTGACTGACTGACTATCTGGCTGGCTGGCTGACTGACTAACTGGCTGACTAACTAACTGGCTGGCTGGCCGGCTGGCTGACTAACTGATTATCACTGGGTCACCTTTATAAACCCAAATGAACTTGAGATAAGAGTAAAAGGCACAAGTCTAAAATATATCAAGTCTATAGCAGAGATATCAAGTCTATAACGGAGATATCAAGTCTATAACGGAGATATCAAGTCTATAGCAGAGATATCAAGTCTATACCAGAGATATCAAGTCTATAGCAGAGATATCAAGTCTATAGCAGAGATATCAAGTCTATACCAGAGATATCAAGTCTATACCAGAGATATCAAGTCTATAGCAGAGATATCAAGTCTATAGCAGAGATATCAAGTCTATACCAGAGATATCAAGTCTATAGCAGAGATATCAAGTCTATAGCAGAGATATCAAGTCTATAGCAGAGATATCAAGTCTATACCAGAGATATCAAGTCTATAGCAGAGATATCAAGTCTATAGCAGAGATATCAAGTCTATACCAGAGATATCAAGTCTATACCAGAGATATTAAGTCTATACCAGAGATATCAAGTCTATAGCAGAGATATCAAGTCTATACCAGAGATATCAAGTCTATACCAGAGATATCAAGTCTATAGCAGAGATATCAAGTCTATAGCTGAGATATCAAGTCTATAGCTGAGATATCAAGTCTATAGCAGAGATATCAAGTCTATAGCAGAGATATCAAGTCTATACCAGAGATATCAAGTCTATACCAGAGATTTCAAGTCTATACCAGAGATATCAAGTCTGTACCAGAGATATCAAGTCTATAGCAGAGATATCAAGTCTATAGCTGAGATATCAAGTCTATACCAGAGATATCAAGTCTATACCAGAGATATCAAGTCTATACCAGAGATATCAAGTCTATAGCAGATATATCAAGTCTATAGCTGAGATATCAAGTCTATACCAGAGATATTAAGTCTATACCAGAGATATCAAGTCTATACCAGAGATATCAAGTCTATAGCAGAGATATCACGTCTATAGCTGAGATATCAAGTCTATACCAGAGATATCAAGTCTATAGCTGAGATATCAAGTCTATACCAGAGATATCAAGTCTATAACAGAGATATCAAGTCTATACCAGAGATATCAAGTCTATACCAGAGATATCAAGTCTATACCAGAGATATCAAGTCTATACCAGCGATATCAAGTCTATAGCAGAGATATCAAGTCTATACCAGAGATATCAAGTCTATAGCAGAGATATCAGGTCTATACCAGAGATATCAAGTCTATAGCAGATATATCAAGTCTATACCAGAGATTTCAAGTCTATAGCAGAGATATCAAGTCTATACCAGAGATATCAAGTCTATACCAGAGATATCAAGTCTATAGCTGAGATATCAAGTCTATACCAGAAATATCAAGTCTATAACGGAGATATCAAGTCTATAGTGGAGATATCAAGTCTATACTGGAGATATCAAGCCTATACTATAGATATCAAGTCTATAGCAGAGATATCAATTCTATACCAGAGATATCAAGTCTATACCAGAGATATCAAGTCTATACCTGGGTTGAGGTTCCTGTGGCTTCAGCTTGGTGTAGGAAATGTTTCACTTTCCTGGCTGGTACGTCATGAGAAAGCACTTCACACTCTGGATATTGTTCTAGAAATGACAAAGAAAGAAAGTACGAGATGAAATAGTCAACAGTTGTTCTTCTTTCTATTTAAGATTATTTTATTTTTTAAAGTTAAGTCAAATTGAATTATTTATTACATTATTATTATTAAATTATTATTATTTAAAACTATTTTTTTTTTAATGAACTGTAAGTGAACATTGATCTTTATAGAGTTGTGTTTCTGATAGAACCATTACAACTAAATGAGAAAACAAGAAAATTACTTTCTCAGTGAACATTGATCTTTATAGAGTTGTGTTTCTGATAGAACCATTACAACTAAATGAGAAAACAAGAAAATTACTTTCTCAGTGAACATTGATCTTTATAGAGTTGTGTTTCTGATAGAACCATTACAACTAAATGAGAAAACAAGAAAATTACTTCCTTGGTAAAACGAGACACTCAAAAGCAATGAAAGAGAAAGACAGTAATGCGTCACAAATGGCACCCTATTCCCTATGTAGTGCACTACTTTTGACCAGGTCCAATAGGGAATAGGGTGCCATTTGGGATGTAGGTAGTAAGTGCATAACTAGTGCCTCCATTTTAGTCAAAGCCCCAAGGCTTAATCTCAGTAAACAATAATAGATTCGCTTCTGTTTGTTGGCAGCATGAAAGAAAAGAACAGCTGCAAGCAGCCATATATGTCGTAATTATGTGCCCATAAAATGGAGAGGAAAATCAGAAAGGTAATTGTCCCCCGTGGCTCCAAATGAGTGGCTGTGCATTATAATATTAAAGTATGAATTAGGCTGTTAGAGATAGTTTGAATTCTAAGCAACCTGCATACACATTATTTGAAGTACAATAGACCAACATAGCTACTGTAGTAGGTTAAAGCTGTGTGCTGGAAAACCTTGGTAGAGCATGGGTGGAGTAGGCATTGTGTTGCTCATGTGAATTTGCTTCAGACCAATGCCTACTTCTCACTTAATTAACCTTTTACTGCAGTGGGCTAAATCAGGCTCACACAGAGTATTTATTGGTAGTCTTAAACAAATCTACTTTGAAACAGAAGTATACACCTCACACACATGGTTATGGGCTTAAAAAAAGAAGACACATGTACCATGTCAGATATAGAGTTTAAATGTATTACATTTTGAGTTTGCATCCCAATATTACACTTTATATACATCACAGAAGACTGAAATATAACAAAACCGTTTGACATAGAAACACCGGATTTTCAGCTTATTAAAAAAAAAGGTTTATTAATTATGAAATTATGAAAGATATTACTACTATTCCACCCATGAGGCCACTAGATGGCGATGTGGTCATTTGACTGCAGGAAAGGAATTATATATATATATATACAATGTAGTTTTTAATGTCCATGGTTTTTACACTGGAAGGTGATTTTCTGTTAAAGGTGCATTATACAACATTACTATATGCTAAACCAGATGTTTTTTCCAGCAACCAAGTCTGCCACTGACAGTGCTATTGTAACCATTCATTTGGTGTGACCCTCACCTGTCTAGCTAATGAGCTCCATGCAGCTGTTAGGAGTACAGTGGATGAAACATTCTCCCAGGTCCCCCGAGAGAGCTTCACCGCATTGATACATGGAACCCAAAAGGGTTCTACTTGGAACCAAAAGGGTTCTACCTGGAACCAAAAAGGGTTCTACCTGGAACCAAAAAGGGTTCTTCAAAAGGGGACAGCCGAAGAATCAAACTTGTTTAAAAACTGTATTTCAAATGCTTTACAAGGCCTATCTTTTGTTGCTTAGCTAGAGGATTCAATGGCCTTCTGGGGCAAATGTGGCCAAACCTGTATCCATATCAATGTTATCTTTTTTTTTTTTTTATGCACAAGCTCTCCGTCCTTGTTCGGTCTCTTCAAATACACACACCACTCTGGCAGTAAGGGCATGTATGTAAAAACATACATGTAGAACGCCATTAAAACACTGGATCTAGTAGCTGTAGTTCTAGTCCAGTTCTACTCACCTCATCCTCTCTGGCAGTCTGTCAGTCTGACATGGTTGGCATTGATTCCAATCTATGTAGATGGTGGCTGTGATTAGCATTAGCTTAGCATTCTCATTGCAAGTGTACAGAGAGGAAACCACACTTCCAAGCTGCTTAGCCCCACATTCTTTGAGTAGGAGGCGTCAAGTAGCCTGGCGTTAGTAGGGAGAAGCAAGCAAATTAAACTCACACCTTCTAGCGAGCAAACAACCGACACATTTACCTAAAAGTCATCTGAAGCAGTGTGGGAGAAGAAGAAGATTATATAAACCCATAAGAATCACAGAAAACTGATTGAAGACACTCTGGGAATTACATGAAGGATACACAAAAAAGGGCTTTTCACACTCCTGACCAGAGCTGAACTCAGCACAACTGAAACAAGCTGTACTGAGCTGACCTGGTTACGCCTCCACCACAGTTGCTGGAACTGTGCTGGAAAGGACAAAGTGAATATCCAAGCCTGCAAGATACAGTTTGGGTTAGTGCAAAAAGGCTCAAAGAGACACCTGCAAAACTACCAGGCCTAGCCAGGAGCCAGGGAACTGACCCCTCATCTCCTCCACCTGCTACCAGACCTGGCCAGAAGCCAGGGAACTGACCACTCATCTCCTCCACGTCCTCCTTCAACCTCTCCCTCACCAGCCTGTGTTGAACATGAACAACCAAATTGTAACATTGATGACACTTTCTATGAAGCCCATATCAATAATGCATTATGAACCCACTCATTAGAAAGAACAACCACATTATAACATTCAGAACTCCCCCGTATCAAACTTCATGACCTCCATGAGGCTCCTTCACTCCAACATACAGTAATGCCGCGGGGTCATTGGCTGCTCACTGAGACACACTTTTGCCACGGTGCACCTGCCTCCTCTGCATCCTGTGGACCCTAGAAGGATGGTGTGGACCTTAGAAGGAGGGTGTGGACCCTAGACAGAGGGTTAGGACCCTAGACGGAGGGTTAGGACCCTAGACGGAGGGTGTGGACCTTAGACGGAGGGTGTGGACCCTAGACAGAGGGTGTGGACCCTAGACTGAGGGTGTGGACCCTAGACAGAGGGTTAGGACCCTAGACAGAGGGTGTGGACCCTAGACAGAGGCTTAGGACCCTAGACGGAGGGTGTGGACCCTAGACAGAGGGTTAGGACCCTAGACAGAGGGTTAGGACCCTAGACATAGGGTTAGGACCCTAGACAGAGGGTGTGGACCCTAGACAGAGGGTTAGGACCCTAGACAGAGGGTTAGGACCCTAGACAGAGGGTGTGGACCCTAGACGGAGGGTTAGGACCCTAGACAGAGGGTGTGAACCCTAGACGGAGGGTGTGGACCTTAGACGGAGGGTGTGAACCCTAGACTGAGGGTTAAGACCCTAGACAGAGGGTGTGGACCCTAGACGGAGGGTTAGGACCCTAGACAGAGGGTGTGGACCTTAGACAGGGGGTGTGGACCCTAGACTGAGGGTTAAGACCCTAGACGGAGGGTTAGGACCCTAGACAGAGGGTGTGGACCCTAGACAGAGGGTTAGGACCCGAGACAGAGGGTGTGGACCTTAGACGGAGGGTGTAGACCCTAGACTGAGGGTTAAGACCCCAGACGGAGGGTTAGGACCCTAGACAGAGGGTGTGGACCCTAGACAGAGGGTTAGGACCCTAGACAGAGGGTGTGGACCCTAGACTGAGGGTTAGGACCCTAGATGGAGGGTGTGGACCCTAGACAGAGGGTTAGGACCCTAGACAGAGGGTGTGGACCCTAGACGGAGGGTTAGGACCCTAGACGGATGGTTAGGACCCTAGACAGAGGGTGTGGACCCTAGACAGAGGGTGTGGACCCTAGACGGAGGGTTAGGACCCTAGACGGAGGGTGTGGACCCTAGACAGAGGGTGTGGACCCTAGACAGAGGGTGTTGACCCTAGACAGAGGGTGTGGACCCTAGACGAAGGGTTAGGACCCTAGACAGTGGGTGTGGACCCTAGACAGAGGGTGTGGACCCTAGACAAAGGGTTAGGACCCTAGAAGGAGGGTGTGGACCCTAGACGGAGGGTGTGAACCTTAGACGGAGGGTGTGGACCCTAGACAGAGGGTGTGGACCCTAGACGGAGGGTTAGGACCCTAGACTGAGGGTTAGGACCCTAGACAGAGGGTTAGGACCCTAGACAGAGGGTGTGGACCCTAGACAGAGGATGTGGACCCTAGACAGAGGGTGTGGACCCTAGACGAAGGGTTAGGACCCTAGACGGAGGGTGTGAACCTTAGACGGAGGGTGTGGACCCTAGACGGAGGGTTAGGACCCTAGACGGAGGGTGTGGACCCTAGACGGAGGTTGTGGACCCTAGACAGAGGGTGTGGAACCTGGAAGGAGGGTGTGGAACCTGGACGGAGGGTGTGGACCTAAGACGGAGGGTGTGGACCCTAGACAGAGGGTGTGGACCCTAGACGGAGGGTGTGGACCCTAGACAGAGGGTGTGGACCCTAGACAGAGGGTTAGGACCCTAGACGGAGGGTGTGGACCCTAGACGGAGGGTGTGGACCCTAGACGGAGGGTTAGGACCCTAGACAGAGGGTTAGGACCCTAGACAGAGGGTGTGGACCTTAGACAGAGGGTGTGGCCCCTAGACAGAGGGTGTGGACCGTAGATGGAAGCTGTGGGCGGAAAAGGAAAGCATGGCTGACAACTGGAGGTGGTTGGATGGATGGATGGATGGATGGATGGATGGATGGATGGTGGAAAGATGAAGAGATGGAGAGATGGTAAGAGAACAGAGAAATGAACTGCTTCCACTACAACTACAGTGCAACAGATATCACATTATGAACAATTGAGAACATCACAAGTGCCATTGTTACCACACCTACAAATAGAGTGCAAGCCATATCACTGCAAACCTATTCAACATATGACTGCCTCAAAAGGTACTACTTTTGACTACAACCACGACTCTTTGCAGAAATAGCTAAAAATGCATGGCTGACAACTGAAGATGGATGGATGGATGGATGGTGGAAAGATGAAGAGATGGAGAGATGGTAGATGGAAAGATGAAGAGATGAAGAGATGGAGAGATGGTAGATGGAAAGATGAAGAGATGAAGAGATGAAGAGATGGAGAGATGGTAGACGGAAAGATGAAGAGATGAAGAGATGGAGAGATGGTAGATGGAAAGATGAAGAGATGGAGAGATGGAGAGATGGTAGATGGAAAGATGAAGAGATGAAGAGATGGAGAGATGGTATAGGTTATAAAAATGCTGCAATAGTGTATAATAAAGTAATAATAGATTATAACTACATTATTATAAAGAGTTGAACAGAAAGTGAGACAGAAAAATAACTCACCATAGTTAATGCAACATCCAGACATGGCTGTAGTCTCTTAAGGAGCAGGTCAACCAGTAAGTGATCCCCAATCCCAACATAGTGGTCCAGGCAACTCCTCCTCCTGTCAGTGTGTGTGTGCCACTACTGCAGCGCTCTCTCTCAAAGTGCAGCTGGGGAGGCTTCCAGCCGTATCTTTTATTTTTTTTTGTATTTTACCCACTTTTTCCTCCCCAATTGCGATCATGTCTCATCGCTGCAACTCCCAAATGGGCTTGAGAGAGGCAAAGGTCGAGTCATGCGTCCTCCGAAACTTGACCCTCCAAACCGTGCTTCTTAACCAGCTGCACCAATGTGTCGGAGGAAACACTGTTCAACTGATAACCAGAGTCAGCCTGCAGGCACCCAGCCCACCACAAGGAGTCGCTAGAGCGCAATGAGCCAAGTAAAGCTCCCCCCAGCCAAACCTTCCCCTGAAGCAGACGACGCTGGGCCAATTGTGCGCCGCCCTATGGGACTCCCGGTCACGGCCGGTTGTGACACAGCCTGGGCTCGAACCCGGGTCTGTAGTGACGTCTCAAGCACTGCGATGCAGTGCCTTAGACCACTGCACCACTCGGGAGGCCCGTCTTCCAGCAGTATCTTATCACAGTCTCTGGATTTTCCGTGGCATTCCTGCCTACTCCAGACTGAACTTGCTACTCCAGACGGAACGTGAACTAGGTAGATAAGTCTCCCTGTCAAGGCTATTGGTTTAGAGAGGATATATAACATAGGGAAAGTTGCAACTCTAGGTTCAAACCAAATTTCCAGGAGGAGGGGATTTGGTTAAAGCCCCCATGCAATCTTTGTAATTGTATTTTTAAAATCATCACCGTATGCCTAATAAATCACTGTGCGTGTTTATTTAATTAAAATAACTCCCAAAATATTTTTTAAATAAATTATTTCCCCGAGCCTCCTTTGGCCCTTGAAATGCTCAGTCTGATCGTGGTGGCGTTAGGAAAATAATTTGAGTATATTTACATACACAGCCCGGATTTGCTGATAGGATGGTCTAGAGCCCACCTACTTACGCAGATGAACAGTCATTGGTCTATTATAATCAGATCACATTGTGATGTCATGATGTGTGGCAAAAGTTCCATCCCACCTGAACAGGCTGATTCCAGGAATTTTTTTCCAAACCGCTCTTACACAAAATGGGCATTATCATCATTTAAAACATGTCTGAGTGTTATTTATACCTCACAGTGTGGACATATCATTTTATTTAAACAGGAAATTCACGTTTTTAACTGCGCTGGCCCTTTAAACAGAAACCCAGAGGTTGGCAAGTGTGGTGGGTCTACTCCCAGCCAATCAGAATCCATTCGGACATGGGGGAGTGTGGAATATTTTTGGCATCATACCTTGTTTTCCTCCTCCTACCAGAAGTGGCTACATTTCCCTTTCCTTCATGTAAAAGCACTTCTTTGTATCCTAGGAGGAGGAACTTGAGTTGCTTTCTCTTCAGGAATGAGCCTAGTCAGTATGCTTGCTTGCACAAGCCTGGCCCTCTGCTCTCTCTCTCTCTCTGCATGCCAAGGAAAACAAAACAACCTCCAGTGAGAGCTCAATTTTGGACAGAGGTGAAAGGCCTGTTCATTAGGCACCAAACGGGAAATAAACCGGCTGGAACAGCCTGGGACCTCCTGGGTTTAGCCAATCAGAAATGCTAATTTTACTTATCTGTTGAAAAGCATTTAAAAACATTTTTCGTTGTGTGCCCTAATGAATACTGCCATGCTATTGCCTTCTGTACAGAGTTGTGGACTCCAGTCACATGAGTTGGACTCGGAGTCTGACTCGAGTCACAAATTTGATGACTTGAGACTCGACTTGATAGAAAGTAAAATAACTTGACACTTGACTTGGAGCCTCAAGACTCGGCTTTGACTTGAGACTGATGACTTGAAATTATTTGGCCAGGTTTTGTAATGTTTTGTCAGTCACTTTATGGCACAGAGTCAACGTGGATTACTCTCCACGCAGACAGAAACAGTAACCGCAGCAAAAAAAACTAACTGCTGCAGATTGGCTAGTGAAACGCACAATCGGCACTCTGATTGCACCAGCAAACTGTCAATCAACACAGGTCGGGTGAGCTAGCGAACGGATTGCGGATTTGCTGTACAGCTATAGGATCCGGTGCAGCGCAAACGTCAAATTGTAGGGAGAGAGGATTGCTATAATAAATAAATATGCAGCTCCAAAAATGGTTTGGTGATCAAGAATATTAACTGTTTACTTTGCAAGCTCACCAGCAATGGTCTTTTGGTATGT